AATGTTGTCATCATGTAGTTTCACAGCATACAATTTTGATATAAGTGCTACGATTTCTTCAAGTAACACTCCGTTAGCCTCATCTTTAAATTTCCCTAATACTTTCTTGTTTCTGTCCTGATCGTAGTTCGGATGATCTTTAGGATAGTCAGAAAAATCAAATTCATCTTTATATACAAATGTGCGAAGATCTCTATACATATCTTGAGTAATTATCTTGTAAATAAAAGCATCTGTATCCATGTAAGTTATAACTATGTTCTCTCTTCCATAATGTGCAACCATCTTGTTGTAGTGAAAATCATACATGTGCGTTTTTGATATATCTAATATTGACATTCCTATATACAAAGGTCGATCCATTTTTATACTAGTTTTCTTCATAGATACGGCAACAAGGTTTTCATTAATGATTACTGATGATCCAAAGTTGGGCTTCTGTACAAGTTTCTCCAATTTCCTAGCATCTGTTATAAGTTTTACATTTTTGTGTTTCCTTTTATTTTCCAGAGTTTTACCAAATATCGCATTGTTCATTAATTTAAAAAAGTCCTTTTGGAAGGCTGACGTTGCTGCTGCTCTTCTTGTAGTGTTGGAATCGATGTAAGGTTTCAGCCAGCAAGATTGAGTAAATTCTAAAACTCTGTGTACTTTGGTTAGACGAAGTCCTAATTCAAGTGCTTGTTGTACAATCCAAAAGTGCGCAACATATCTTTGTTTGTTATTTAAATTCATCATTAATTTAGGATGTTTTCCAGTTGGTGAAATTTCAGTTTTTGGTAAAAGAGGAAGATCGTAGTGAAGGTCGTGTAGATGTTCTGGGTACTCGAAATCGCAGTCTAAAATATATCCTGTATCACCATGTTTTGGAATTTGAACAATATCTCCAATTGACTCTGGGTCTATCCATTTAAAGTTATCATATGGAAGGGGGTTGGACATTGCCCATCCATACAAATTGTTTGCATCAAAATACCCTAGATAAACTGATGGCTCTTGCTGATTGTAGTTTGGCAGGTCTTTATTGTTGGCTTTCACATGTCTTACAACGCTTTGAGTCAATCCTCCTCTGACACCGGACTCAATCATCAGCACCATATCAATATCTGTTAAAAGTTGAAGTTTGCAATTGGTTTCTTTTAACATCGCCTGCCAAGCTAATCCTGGAGAGGTGAAAGAATGAAGAGGGTCTAATCCGTATGCTTCCAAACAGGTGTTTCTGAATTCCTCCATTACATCACAAAGCAGGGTCACATCGAGTTTAACATAAAAATCTGAATAATCTCCTAATGTTTCCATATGAAGTTCGTTCCAAACTCTGCATGCATGTTGGTAATCTTCTGGTGATATTTCTGAATTGTTCAGCTTGTTGCTAAAGGCTTCTGGCGGAGGAAGTGATGTCTCGTCAAATCTGTGCAATCCATCGATGTAATCATAAGGAAATACTCCTTTTCGAAGAACTAAATCCAATTTATTGTTGTCCACTATTTTACTTGTTTCTATTAAATTTTCTCTTGTCAAATTTTCTGATAGTTTCATAAGACTAGTAGGCATAAATCTGTAGGAGTCAAGAAATCTGAGTTTAATTTTACCGACCTTTTTTGAAAAACTAATAAACCTTTCCATCGTTACGGCTAATACATCAATTTTACCATTGTCCCTTCCTAATTCAGGTATTATAAAATGTCCATCATAACCGCTCAAGTTGTGCATTACAATTGGAATATAGTTAGGAATTTTATAGTTTAAGTTGCAGGCGTTACACGCAGCACCTCTGTAGCTTCCAGTCAGATGGTCGTGGTCATGCACTTTATGATTATATTCTGTAAATGTCTTCTTGCATAGATAACATGATATTGATAAATCGTATTCTTGAACTTCAACGGGTGACATAGGTGTCATAGGTTTTACCTGTGTATAAATTGCCTCTACTTTTTCAGCTATATTGTAAAGCTCGTCAACAAAGTGTTTAGCTGCATCTTCACCACGATACACTTTTGGTTCAGCTGTCAGTCCATAATCTTGTAAATATTCTTCGGAAAGCGTTGACTTGATGAGTAGACAAAAACTGTTGGGTGAATGTAACTGGTACTTGTTTCTTCTTGATGTTTCCTCCTCTTGATGTTCCAATGGTAGTAGTGTAGATTCAAAATCAGCATACACAACAATAGGGATTCTATATTGATGAATGACGTTATTAAACTGTACAAATGCTCTATCACGTGCTGGCAAGTTAATCTTAACTTCATCATGTCCGTTGCATAACCTTTTATGCTCCATTAACCATTCAGAACCTCCTTTTCTTAAAGGTTTATTTACATGACAAAAACATCTTTTACAAATTGTTTTACTTCCTCCTGTTTTCTTTGACACTTGTAATGATAGCAGTCTGTTGAAATTCTTAATATATACATAGTGCGATATTTCACCTTTGGTGATTAATAATAAGTCTGTGTGATTATTTAGTTCGTGTGCACTTATACGTAGAGGATATACATTGTTTGATGAATCTAAACCATATATATTTACAGAAGCGGTTGGGTTCTTTTTTTCAAACTTGGTGATATCTTTGATTTTTACAGGGTAGCTCATTCCTTGAAAATTATAATTGTGCTGTACTTCTTCATATTCTCTTCCTACCCTTTGCGGATCATTATTTTTGACATATTTTACCAACATTGAATATTTAAAACATTCAGTATCATTATTTTGTACATTTACACAAGATTTAGTATTAGCAATTTTCTTGGGTAGAGGAATATAGCTACTACCTCTCATTCCATATCAGTGTTTATGCACTCTTACATCCAAGCCCGATATGTTCAATACAGTCCATCCTGATCCTCTGCCTTCATGTTCTTGCAATTTCGTCAAAAGTTCTTCAAAACATTCATCTACTATTGATTCAATATCTGAGGCAAACATAATGTTTCTGTTTTTTGTTAAAAATCCTCTAGGTGATGTTTCATTTTGTATGTTGGTAAACATAACATCCAGCAATAGTCCAAACTTTATAAAATTTAATCTTTGTAATTCACTTTGCAACGTTTTAATAACTAGTCTTTTTGCACTAAACATAAATTCTTCCAGTTTTAATGCGGCATTGTCAATTTTGAAATGTGTTACCACTTTACCTGGTAGAGCATGAGCGTGTAGTTCCACATTTGTTGAAGATGTAGCAGTTGAAGGTGAAGTTGAAAGTTTAGGTGCGTAATGGATAACACTTGGTCTTGAAGTGGATGATTTCGGGTCTTTTTCTTCTTGGCCTCTTGAAGTCGATGGTCTTGGTTCTTTTTCTTCTGTATTTCTTGAGGTAGATGGTTTGGGTTCTTCTTCTTCTTCTTGTCCTATTTTATACAATTCTTCAATTAAGTCTTGATATCCTTCCAATTCCTCATAATTTGTAGGATGATCGTCTATTTCATGAAGTAGAAGATCTATTTCATCCTCAAACGTGGCTTGACAAATGGCACAGCGTAGCATGGAAGTAGATGGTTTTGGTTCTTCTTCTCCTCGATCTCTTGAAGTAGATGGTGTCGGTTCTTCTTCTTCTCCTTGTCCTATTTTATTCAATTCTTCAATCAAGTCTTGATATCCTTCCAATTCCTCTTCATTTGTAGGATGATCGACTATTTCATGAAGTAGAAGATCTATTTCATCCTCGAATATGGCTTGACAAATGGCGCAGCGTAGCATGTTGTAGATGTTCTCTATTCAAGAAGCAGCAGCATACTGATGAAAGATGTAAACATCCACCCCTATTTATACCATTCCCTCCCCTCTCTCCCCTCTACTACTACTATTAAATTAATGACATCACCCCATTTCCCAATTTCTTTATAATCTAACGTAAATACAGGCTATTCTTCAACTTTCAAACATATTTATAGAAAAACAAGGTATTTTATTTTTTACTAACTATTCCGGTTTAGTAGGTCAAGGTCATTGCAGGATAATAAAAAAATGTGTGAACAATTCGTTTAGTTCTGAAACACGTTTTTACACATGTTATACCAGAACTAAATAAATTGGTCAGACATTTTTTTATTCAAAATTTGGAAAAAGTTATTTACTGTTCAAAACTTGGAAAAGCCCCAATTTACTGTGTTATAGACAAACCCAACCTACCCACGTCCCATTTTTTTTTATTTGTTAGTACTCTTCATCAATTTCACTATCCAATAAATCCATCATTTCCGACAGAATTCGCTCTTCCATTTCACCATTCATTAATTGTATCATGTCCGACAGCATTTTTTCATCATCATCTTCTTTTAATTTTTCAACGTGGTTATCAATTATAGCACTAGCTTCTTTCATTTCTCCCACAGTCCTCATTCTTGCTTCTTCAACTTCCTTTTCTAAAAACCTTATTCTTTCAATTGATAAATTTATAATTTGAAGTTTAGATGTTCCTTTTTTAGCTTTGAGTATGGTTCTCAATACCTCAAATGTTTCATTTAGCTTCATCACCCTCCTTCTTTCTCTTTCATTATGTCTAATCTTTTGTTTATCCATCTTGACTAAGCTTGCGTTTGCGAGTTCCAAAAATAAGAATGTTTAATGCAGGATGTCAAACCTCTTTTATACCTCCATATAGTGGTGGGGGGTAGACCACTCCCCACTTTACTTTATAGTAGTGGGGGAAATGGGTAACATTTTCTTTTATTGTTGAACCATGGAATTTTTAAATTCTTTAAGTAGGTCAAGGTCATTGTCAAATAATAAAAAAATGTGTGAACAATTTATTTAACCCAGCAACATGTTTTCTTAAACATGATATACCAGAATTAAACAAATTGCTCAGACATTTTTTTCAAAATTTTGAAAAAGCCGATTTACTGTGTCTTTTATGATTTTATGATTATCAGGATTTAAAAGAAATTAAATATTTCAAAGATTAAAAATTTAGAAATAGAAAATTTACTGTATTTGTTTTGGAAATTGATGATTTGCAAAACAAACTCCCAACCCACCCTCTCATTTTAATTTTTGTACACTATCAGAGTCAGAGTCAGAGTCGGAGTCAGAGTCAAACAATCGTCTTCTACTTCTAAACATTGCACTAAACATTATATGACTTGTTGTAGGTGTTTCCCTTAGCTCAACAAGTTTCTCCGAGCATACCATCTCTTCAGTAGATGATGAATCTTCAACAAGTAGAAAACTTCTATCTTCTTCATCTAACTCTTCATCAGTCAATACTTCCAAATTTTCGTCACCATCCGATTCCAACTCTTCTTCGGATAAAGATTCTTCCTCCAAGTCTATGTCTTCTTCCTCTGAACCAGCTTCAAAAACAATGTTTTCCAATAAGGTTTTTAAAAAAGAAGTTGTCGGGAAAATATTGTCCACAGGAGACATAATGTACAAGAGTGGTAAATCTGAAGTAACTGATTGTACCTCAGCAAACATGTTATATAGACAAACCCCCACCATTTACCTTTACCCCCACCCTTAACCTTTACTCCATTTTGTTTTTAGTTATTGCGGTCTGGTTTTATGTAGAATGTGGCAGTCACAATATACCCTTTTTCTAACATTTCCACTAGCCTTCGAATTATTTTATTAAATCGTACATCAGTTAATTCTAGTTTCAACCCGTTTGCTTCTGAGTTCCAGATGTTTCTCTCTTCCTTCCACAAAGTAAAATGACATGTCACACTATGATTTAAATATTTTTCTAAACTTCCCCTGAATGCAAATGCTTCTTGAAGGTTTTTTAAGTTTCTTTTAATTATTATTGTAGCTGGGGAATTCATAGTTAAACTTGCCTCTGCTAGCTCCAATCTAAGAATGAATCGTGTGCAATATCAAGCGTCATTTATACCTTTATGTACTGGTGGGGGTAAAGGGGGGTGGGGTTAAACAAACCACCTTAATTTTAGTAGTGGTAGAAATTGATATTATCATTATTTTAAAATTTTGCAGAAATTTCTAAGTTTAAGAAGTGGGTCAAGGTCATTGCAAGATAATCAAAAAAATGTGTGAACAATTCATTTAATTCTGCAGCATGTTTTTACACATGATGTATCAGAATTAAACAAATTGCTCACACATTTTTTTTAAGAATTTGGAAAAATTGAATTTACTGTGTTATCTTTGGTAATGTAAAATGTTAAAAGGAAAAAAATTACCGTGTCTTTTTGATCTTGGAAATTGAAGATTTCCAAGACAATCTTCCTTTAGCATCCCGGATAAGGTAGTCAGTTCTTTTCGGATGTTCAGGGTTTACAACATCTCTTGGTAATCTAATTGAAAAATGCTCTCCTGTATCGTTACGTTTTATAATGATGTTATTAAACCATACACATCTGACAAAGAAATATTTCGTACACCTTTTCATCCTTCTTACCCGGATTGCTTTGGGAAGTTCTTTAATTTTATTGGAAGACTCTGTGGTTTTATTGTGTTTTGAATGAATGGAGCACATATCACTATTCAAAACACAAACCTTTTCACAGTGTTCCCCCTTACTAGCACCCTTTTTAAAAACATATCGACACTTAGAGAGGGTGTGTGCAAATTTTCTTCTCCTGTCAGCAATTAATTGTTTACACTTATCTGAAGGAGAAGTGTGAAGGTGGTCAAAGGATTTGGAAGTGGCTGGTAGGGAGTCTTTTAGAGGAGATATGATGGGTGGTGGAATAGTGAATTGTAAAGGTGGAGTTGTCGAGGGAGAAATACATGGTGTAGAAGTTGGAGGTGGAGATGCAGTTCTAGTAGCAGTAGGTGTTGATAGAATATCAGCAACAGTGCAGTCAGAGGACGAGGAAGAGCTTGTAGATGAATCAGATGAGGTTAACTCCGAAGAAGATGAACAAGACGAACTTGATTGTGAAGATGAAGATGAAGACAATATTTCAATCAGTGGAGGAGATTGATCACCAATGGCTCGGAAGGTGTATTGTTCTTCTGCTCCAGGACTTGCACCTTCTGACTGCAGTATTTCTCGAAGAACCGATTTTGGATCTGACGCATGTGATGAAATTAAAATATATCGAGGAAGAGACTTTGAAGATGAAGAAACTACTTTCGAGGGTCTAGTGGGAATTCTAAGGTAAGCCATGATAGCAAATGAAACAGTGAATAGTAACTGGAGCTGACTCAGCTAGCTAGGACTACTTCAGACCATTGAATGATGATTGCCTGCGAAGCAAACCTCCTTTTATAGCAAAACTCAAGTGGAGGGGAAAGCTTGTGGGTGGAGGGGAGAAGCTTGTGGTTGGAGGGGAAATGTTTTGTCCTTTGGTGTTAACTTAAAAGAACTGTTCTCGGTTCCCAATAATGTACTATAAGGAAGCTTTCTAAGTCCTGTAAGTAGGTCAAGGTCATTTAAAAATATTGCCAAAAGGAGAGATGGAGCAAAAATTGGCTCCATCTCTCCTTTTGTTGTAATAGGGGAACTTAGTGTTTGTTATGTATTTTAAGGGAAGCTTTCTAAGTCCTGTAAGTAGGTCAAGGTCATTTCAAAATAATGCCAAAAGGAGAGATGGAGCAAAAATAAGCTCCATCTCTCCTTTTGTTGTAGTGGGGGAACTTAGTGTTTGTTTTATTTTCGTGTTTGTGTGTAAGTCTGAATTGGCTAAAGACCAATGTATCAGTCTTTTTGATCAGAGGCAGCGCAGCCAAAGGACTGTCCTCATGTTATTGATCAAAGACTCATTAGCAATAGCCGGAGCAGCGCAGTCAACGAACTGTCCCCATAAAAATGTGTGAATGTCATCTATCTCATTTTGTTGTAGTGGGGGAACTTAGTGTTTGTTTTATTTTCATGTTTGTGTGTAAGTCTGAATTGGCTAAAGACCAATGTATCAGTCTTTTTGATCAGAGGCAGCGCAGCCAAAGGACTGTCCTCATGGTATTGATCAAAGACTCATTAGCAATAGCCGGAGCAGCGCAGTCAACGAACTGTCCCCATAAAAATGTGTGTATGTCAAAGAGAACTCTATGTCATGAATTTACTATTGGTTTCATGTTTTTGTTTTGTGTGAACGTTTTCAACTTACTAATGTCACTTAGAACTTTGTAACATACAATGATCAACTCAAATTGAAAATAAAATTACTAATAGGGACTTTATTATTTTGATACCTGAAATAGAACATCACATAATTAAGAAATACAACACCCTTACCAAAGATACAAATACGCAAAACACCCTCTAACTACAAGCCAACAAATACTACAATCAACATGCTTCTAATATAACTACTAAGTGACAAGAACCTTAGGTTAGAGTGGTACCAACTCTAAACTAAGGGTCTCATCTTTAGCCAGTTTGCCCATCCGGTCAGCTTCACCGGTTGTGCAAGACTGACAATCATCCGTCTGCTCGCAGCCCTTTTATACGCTCGGGTTGAGTGGTGGGGGTAGAACAACGCTGCACCTGCTTATGTAAATTAACTAGCGATAGTAGGTCCCTAGCTAGAATATATGCCCGGTCGGATTCAAACATATACAAGATCCATTACTACCGTTTTTATATTTTTTCCAAAATATTTTCAAAGTCCTGTAAGTAGGTCAAGGTCATTTAAAATAATACCAAAAGAAGAGATGGAGCAAACATGCTCTATCTCTCCTTCTGTTGTAGTGAGGAAAGAGTCTGTGTTTAGGTATAACAACAAAAGCTTAAAAGTGTTCATTGTTAGCTGACATAAGTAAACTACCAATGACAACAAAAAGTTTAAAATTTAATTTAACCAAATGCAGAATAGTATGCAGGCCGTTGGACCTCTCAACTAATTACAAAGTGGTCAACTTAAATTTTAAATATAGAATATTTACTGTCACAAGAAAGTTTTCATTGTTAGCTGACATAAGTAAACTACCAATGACAACGAAAAGTTTAAAATTTAATTTAACCAAATGCAGAATAGTATGCAGGCCGTTGGACCTCTCAACTAATTACAAAATGGTCAACTTAAATTTTAAAATATACAATATTTACAGTCACAAGAAAGTGTTCATTGTTAGCTGACATAAGTAAACTACCAATGACAACAAAGGTTTAAAATTTAATTTAACCAAATGCAGAATAGTATGCAGGCCGTTGGACCTCTCAACTAATTACAAAATGGTCAACTTAAATTTTAAAATATAGAATATTTACAGTCACAAGAAAGTGTTCATTGTTAGCTGACATAAGTAAACTACCAATGACAACGAAAAGTTTAAAATTTAATTTAACCAAATGCAGAATAGTATGCAGGCCGTTGGACCTCTCAACTAATTACAAAATGGTCAACTTAAATTTTAAAATATAGAATATTTACAGTCACAAGAAAGTGTTCATTGTTAGCTGACATAAGTAAACTACCAATGACAACGAAAAGTTTAAAATTTAATTTAACCAAATGCAGAATAGTATGCAGGCCGTTGGACCTCTCAACTAATTACAAAATGGTCAACTTAAATTTTAAAATATAGAATATTTACAGTCACAAGAAAGTGTTCATTGTTAGCTGACATAAGTAAACTACCAATGACAACGAAAAGTTTAAAATTTAATTTAACCAAATGCAGAATAGTATGCAGGCCGTTGGACCTCTCAACTAATTACAAAATGGTCAACTTAAATTTTAAAATATAGAATATTTACAGTCACAAGAAAGTGTTCATTGTTAGCTGACATAAGTAAACTACCAATGACAACGAAAAGTTTAAAATTTAATTTAACCAAATGCAGAATAGTATGCAGGCCGTTGGACCTCTCAACTAATTACAATATGGTCAACTTAAATTTTAAAATATAGAATATTTACAGTCACAAGAAAGTGTTCATTGTTAGCTGACATAAGTAAACTACCAATGACAACAAAAGTTTAAAATTTAATTTAACCAAATGCAGAATAGTATGCAGGCCGTTGGACCTCTCAACTAATTACAAAATGGTCAACTTAAATTTTAAATATAGAATATTTACAGTCACAAAAGATTGTTCATTTTAATGGGGGACTTCTTTATCCTTTGTTAGCTGAAATATCACATGATTAGAAAAATACAACACTCTGCGCAATTCAAGTACTAAAGACACGATGCACTCCATAAAGTAAAACCATCTAAGATACAAGCTAAAAAAACAACATGCAGCACATGCTATTGACTAAAACATTAAGTTAGATTGGCCAAATCTAACGAAAGGTTTTAATCAAAAGTCAGTCAGTCTACACTCAACCAGTCAGCTGTGCCAGTTGGGTGAGACTGACTACAGTCCATTCGCTGCCGCTACTTTTATCCGCGAGCCAGTTGGGAGGGGGTCGGTTGGGAGGTTTACCCTGCTTCGCGGGTAAATTTCCCTACTGTCGGGTAATTCTACCTACTAAGTAAGGAAGTCTCCAAACCTCCAACATCACATCATTCAGTGTCGAACCTTCAACGAAGACTGTTCACATATGCCAGCTCTGTTCTGATGTTAACTATGGATAAGCCAAGTACAATCACACAAGATAAACTAAAGAGAATAAAAGAAGATTTAAAGAAATCTACTACTACTAAAACTAGCAATTTTCGCAAGTCAATGTCACTACGTCTAAAGTTTCAGAGGCAAATTAAATTACCACTACATTGGAATGCATCAGGATCAAATTATTCTAATCAATTATCACCCGAAGCCATATGTCAAGAAATGAAGCTTCCTCAACTAGTAAGTCCAATAGAAACAGAAAAAGTAACATTTAAATATCTGTTACAAAACAAACATTATCAATTAGTAGAACAAAGACAAAACGAAAATGGTAAAACGTTTATTTTCTTTTATGACAACAAGTTTTTAGAGGTTTGCTTTCCGACACGATTAAATGTGCCAAAGCCTCCTGACGTTGAAGATGGCAAACTAATTTATTTGATTCGCACAAGTCAGAACACATGGAATTGGGTATAATTCACTTAAAAAAAAAACAGTCTTTCTAAAGACTCCATTATATAAACATATTTTGACCACAAAGTCTAATCTGTCAAACTGTTTAACAAAATATAAACGATATTTAATTTTACTTTATTTTTTACGTCACGGTCTCCAGTACCCGTAATACACCACTACTTAAGGTTTTTTTAAGACCAACAAATATTTACTAACATGGGGAAAATATATCTACTATTTTGGAACGTATTTCTGTATAAACATCTTTTAACCGCAAACAGCTATCCTGCGACTATCTAACATAAGATATAAATTAAAATTGGTTTTTACAATACCTTGTGTTGTTGAGTCAATCGAGGTGTAGTATTACGATGGCATCAACGATGCAAACGATAGACCCAGGACCGTACAACACTCCGCCGCTATGTCCGAAAGCAAACTGTAGAACTGTGGATACAAATCCACATGGAGGTTGAGTAGGGGCATTTGACCTTGTTCCACTGCCCGCTCACTTTCCCTTCGCGGCCTCAGCCTAATTCACGGCGGCCGGTGACACAACCTTGCACCACGCCGCCGCGGGCACTAGTACAATACTGTAGGCTACTGTTAAAATGTTTCCGTCGACAATATGATTTTAACTCAATTTATTGTCTGTACATGTAAGCTGTGTTTTGGTTTAAAACCTTGGTGTAGCTGTTGGTTGATATGCCCAATACATTTAAGACAATTGCAAACGAACAAGTATTAGCTATTTAAACACACTACTGTACAGACAGCTGTTTCATCCCCTATCCATTACCACCAGCTCCTACCACCTGTATCCTGTTACCACCTTCTTGCTGTCAGCTCAAATCCGCTATAAAACACGCCATTTCCACCCCTATCGTACCTAACTGTCAAATCCCCCGTCATTTCCGGCTTTACACGTCATTTCCGCTTAACGGTCAAATCAGCTGGTGCGGCAAAACAGCCTAGGGGCTACTACTTACCACCTACGGTAATAGCTACTTCCCCATGGGGAAATTCGCTAAAACAAAACAAAAAAGTGGGTGAGAGGTAAATTTCCAATTCACTCAGACACATCAATACATTTTTATAACCCACACATATTAAAGTGGATACTTGTCCAACTATATCGGCCAACATTTTGGTAAATCTTTTCTTAGTTTCAAATGACTTGAACGATTTGCAATTTGTAATTCCTTAGAACAATATTTGGCCCTGACAACATGAGTCCTAACGGAATTGTTTATTACGTAAGCCTCTGAGTCATCCCTATATGAAGAATTAACTTGATTCAACCACTCCATATGCTAAGTGATCCAATCCCTTTAAAACTACTGATTTCAATTTACATAATGCTAAGTCTCCATAATGTAGAGGACTTCTAAATGTCTATCAATTTTCTACAAGAAAATTTCTCTCTATAGAAAAATTGTACAAGAATATAGATGTCTTAATTATCAATGTTGTCTTAACCAATTTCAGAGTGAGGGATACAATGTCTCTTGCCTAAAGCAGATTTCAAATTCTGTAAATCAAAACCGTCAGCTAATTCAAGAAACACTTGGTAGATAACGCAATTTATACAATTATGACGGATTTACCACTTACGATTGTAATGTATTACCTAATTTAAATCCCAGCAATACACAATGTACAAAACATATTAAATTATGGATAAAATAGTACCCTCTAAATATATTTTTAGAAACAAGATAATCTTACTCTGAAGAAACACTCTACAGCCTGCTTTAGTATGGATTTTAGTAAAACATCAATACAAAATCAAAACCTGCTTATGTAAAGGACTTTTACGGTCCTAAAAGTCCTTATATAGATACTGAATCCCTCTTATATACCTATTATAGTCTATGAAAAAATGTTTGAAGTACATTACCTGCACAAAAAAAATATTTCAACACTCATCTTTTTTTTATCTGGTTTGTTGTAAATGAGCACTTTAGAAATTGGCATAACTTTTCTTAGTGAGAGGTTATGTTTCAATTCAACAAACGAGTAGGAAACAAGAAACAAACGATTCTACAGGGTGGGGCAATGAGAACGCCACAACTTGATTTAGCTGTCCCGTGTAAATTGTTGCAACAATGAATGATCATATTATTCTGTATAGACAGGTACCTCCCATGAACCGCCATGAAATTAGTGGGGGTAGAAACATTTTTGTAAAAAAAAAAAAAAAGTTTCATTTGTTATCCTTTTTGTGTATCTATTGGACCTCTCCGATAAGTTTTGTAAACTTGGCGAGGCCAAGCTGTAGTATTATCATAAATAAATATATGAATTTGAATTTGAACCACAAACATCCTACACCATCCTCAGTAAAATGGTAAATCATGACATTTGTTACCTTGAACGCCTCGCGGAACTTGAGAGACATGATGTGGTAGAGGATGGGGTTGACGGTGGTTGACACGTAGTAGAGGATGCCAGAGAGGTAGGTGACGACCACGTAGACGTGCAGGACGACCGGCGACACAGGCTCTTGACCTGAACCCACACCGTAGATGGCGACCAGGCGCTGAGCATGGAACGGCGCCCAGCAGATGAAGAATGCGACCACTATAGCCACTAAACACGCACAACTTCAGTTAGGGTAAAAACATATATAGTGAAGCAGGGCAGGTCACATAGTCGCTAGTCACTTGTAGACTAGCTGGTTACCTGACGGGAAGCTGAAGAACACACACGTAGTAGAGCTTAGTCAGTCGCTTGTTGGCCAACCTTTTAATTACAGTACTTAAATAAATGCACGTACATGTATGTTAGCCAGTGATTTACGAAAGAATAGCAATATAATGTCTTGGGATAGGAAGAAGGAATATAACGTCCTGGGATTAGAAAGAAGAACAAAATACTGGATTGTCTCAGTAAAAGATTTTCATAATTGATTCGATCACAGTAAAATATTGGAGTTGATAACTTAATTTTGTATAGTTGTCAAGTGCAATTGATGTATACCACATTATTGTGAAATTGGAGCTGTGAAACCACATTATAGTCTGCCATAGTCCTGTCATATTAGGTAAAAATACCTGGAAATTATTCCCTATATGGAGAAACTTCGCAAATGCGTAGTACTAGTACCCAGTAACAACACGTATAAACATAACATAAAAACACACTGTGCTACGGCTGCCTTCTGACCATATTACACTAACTGTTGGAAATACAGAAATATTGTTGAAACAAAAGTTGAAGACACAAAAATACTTTTTTAGCGTTTCCAAATTTAGGGAATTATTTCCACCTGGGCTAATAGTTCTTTGCTCACAGAGAAACATGCCACATACTGCTGTTGTTGGAATGGAAATCCGGGCAATTCGCTAACAAATGTTTCCCAAGAAGTTGATTAGGTCGAATTGAATGAGAAATGATTTTTTAATTAGCGAGCAGTCAAATTATAGATCAAATAGATCAAATAAATACCAGTTATAAACAAAAAAGCAAATACTGTAGCAGCAAAACCTACATGCTTCAAAAATCTCATTGCTTGACAAAAGGCTTTTCGATCGCAATAGCACATGCAACCTCATGCCAAGTTTCATTTGTACAAGTTCATTATGTAACGTTTTGTTGTATCAAAGATCCGAGCTTTGATATCACCAGGTTGACTAAGGTACCGTAATAGTTACTTCCATAGTCGGGAAAATCCGATATCAAAGGATCCCATCTAATCAACCACCCTGCCACTTCCTTCCTTACATAATGAACTTCATCGAATTTAAAGTTTATCACTTGGACTTTAAGCATTAGTATGGAGAAAGTGCCAACGACCTGTTTATTCTACTTTCCTGTCGTACTGTCATTTTTCAGTATCAAAAGTGGCGATGACTTAACAGAGATTGATTTGAGATTAAATATTGAATGGAAATGCGTTTTGTACTGCAAACAATAGCTTTTCTGCATAGTATACATATTTATGCATAATATACATCATACTTCATACTAATACTAATACCAGGACTACTAACATCTAGTACTAGGTAATATGATAAAATGAGAGAAAGTTTGTTTGTTTTTTTGTTTGTATGTTCATTTGTTTAAAGTTCAATCAAGCATAACTACTGGTCGGATTGAGTTGAAATTTGGTATGATAATAATAGCTTACATTCCCGATTAACATATAGACATATTCTTATATCAAAGATCCCATCGGGCTCCACCGCTGTGGCTCTGGAGATTCCAATGGTAACCTTATTAATATTCATATTTAAAATTATCTAATGAATTTTGCCAGCTGTTTTAACTACAAAAGTTGGTTCTATGATATTCAATAGCATCAAAAGTTATCAGCCCGGTCAATACGTTGTAAAAATCGCCCATACGTGGACAAAAATGGCGTCCGAGGATTTTTTCAAAAAAACTATGTTTTTTTGGGGCACAACAAATATTTCTGGAGCGTTCCGAGATATTCACAAAAAATAGCGAAATTTTTGCACTTTTTTAAGCTTTTATGTTATAAGTTGAAAACTTTGAATTCTAGCGACTTTGACCCCTATAGAAAATGGAAGTTGAAAAAAATTCCTTCAAAATGCACTATTCACACTTGAAAATCGATTAGAAATAACATCCGCTATAGCACATTGAAAATTGTTTATTTTTTACTTTAAAAAAATTAAAACTTTTGGTCTGGTTTTTAATATTACTTAGCAAACACCCACCCCATAACTAACTCAATCCCTAAGCTAAGTCCGTATCGTTCGTCATTATTTCAAGAAGGGTCCATGAGGAAAGGAAAGAAATCGAGCCTCTACAAATCTTTCCACCATTTGCCGGATTCTGAAATACCAAAAGACACCCAAAATTCTATATATGGAGGGTTTCTACTACACAAGGTGGTTTGGTAGAGTAACTCTGATCAGGTGAGAATAAGTGAGTGGTGACGTAAACATGGTTTGAAATTGAACTCTGAAAAAATCCATGATTCTCCATATTGCTACACCCACTACTCTTCACAGAGTTGCAAATGGAGACATGCACGTTCAAATCGCAGGAAAACCTCTAATTGTGAGGGATACCGTCAAGACTTGACTGTGACTTGGGTGTGGTACTTGACAGTGGCCTCACATTCTCGGACCACATCACTTATGTTTCCCAGGTGGCTTTGGGAAGGCTGCGTGGTCTGTACCGGTACAAAAACATCCTGCCAGAGACTGCCAAGATGCAGCTGGTACATTCACTAGTGTTGTCAGTGTTCCACTACTGTTTTCTTGCATACGGCCACAACATCTCAAGGGAAGAGATGTCCCTAATTGCAAAAAGTGCAGAACTCCGCAAATCGTTTCGTTTACGGTATCCGTAAGCGTGAACGCGTATCCCCATTCCGGGACGCTGCGAGGTTGCTGTTTGCAGGGCGCAGACTTGTAGCCTCATCCACCGGGTCTTGGTTCAGCAAGAGCCTAACTACTTAAGCATCAACATAATCATTTAAATGAAATCCCAAAATTCTACTTTTACTTACTTATTAAACACTATACATAGTTGTGTTAACTAAGTAGCTGAGTTATGTGCTCGTTTGGTCATGGTTGCTCCTTCAATCCTGAGAGGAGTTTTTTATGGTTCAAAATTGGGTCAAACTGTCCTTTTAATACATAGCCCTGGCTAATAAAAGAGCTGGTATTAAGTCAGTAACAATGTTACACAAGGCTTACTTCATTTAATATTCATCCTTCACTATTAATTTGGGCTACACACGTAGCTGGTGTCCCAATCCCAATTGGTAGTTGTTAATACGGTCAAAATCCGTTACGTGCCCAAAACTCTATTTTTTCCAATTACACTTCTATAACTTATTGAAACCTTTTATAGGTAATAAAAACAAACAGTTGGTTGCTTTTATAGGCATTAATACAAAATACAATATTTGGAAAAGGTACTTAATCGAAACTTGATCATACGCTACAGTATATAAATTTGGAGAAAACACACAAAATAGTAGAATAACTACTGCAACTTTTACGTTGTTCGATAAGTTTGGTTGGTTAAGTTAGGTTAGGTTAGATGACATTGTTATAACCTTACCTAACCCAACCAAACTTCTTGAACTCAAAAACCTTTTCTGAATATTGTATTTTCATTATTTCTTACCTATAAAATGTTTCAATAAGTTATAGAAGTGTAACTGGAAAAAAGAGTTGTGGGCACGTAACGGATTTTTACCGGTAATACTAATATAATAATTCGCATAACCTACAGTCTATGTTAAGCCTTGATCATTGTGTTTTAATAAACGAAGGCCAAACAACTAGCTGATCTTAGTCTGTAACAATTCTGTTATTATCTCTCATCTAACACTTGCAGTTTACTCATGCCTGACAAAATGGTGTGTAAGAATCCAATCCAATCCAAGCAACTTACCAATAAATACAAGGTTTGTATTCATTGAACTTACCTAGCATCTTGAGCACTCGACGGGAGCTGGCGGACCTACAAACGCTCCTGTTGGTCTCCTGGTGACGGCTGAAGGATCCAGAGGTCTTCTTGAGCAGCGCGGACCTCCTCAGCCGCAGCCCTATCAACGCGTACAGCACCGTGATGACGGTCATCGGCAGCACGAAGAACAGAAACGTCGAGATCTCGAAAGAGTGTCTGATCTCCTTCTCCTTGAGCACTTGACACTGCACCATCTCCGGTCTTTTCCCCCGAGTCACCCCGAACTGTAGGGCCTGCACAGAGAAGAAACAGATACAAACTGGTCTTGCTAGCCCATGTAGTGCCTGCAAAAAGAAAAACCCTTGGAAAAAGATTGGTTTTGCTAGCCTATGTGGGGCTTGTACATAAACAACTTAGGCCTAACCTTTATAGAAACAGTACGATGCATCTAAAATAGCTTCTAAAAATACATCTAATAGTGCTTACACCTAGAACATCATCAGCCTGTCTAGGTGGAGTTTGCTTGTCTATATTTTATTAACAATGGATTTTTTTCCCACATTCCGAATGAAAATTAATAATCTCATTTTTATTTTTTTATAGCTTGTAGTGCATCTGAACTGCTGAATACTAATTTAATTATTGAAGATAACTTGTAATGCAACTAAACCGCTGCGTACTAAGCTAATTATTGAAAAGTATTAAATTATTACAAAATATAACTTGTAATGCAACTGAACTGCTGAATACTAAGATAATTATTGAAGACAGCTTGTAATACATTGAACTACTGCATACTAAGTTAATTATTGAAGATAGCTTGTAATGCAACTAAACCACTGCATACGAAGTTAAATATTGTAAAGTACTAAAGTATTCAAGAAGATAACTTGTAATGCAACTGAACTGCTGAATACTAAGTTAATTATTGAAGATAGCTTGAAATGCATCTGCACTTCTGCATACTTAGTTAATTATTGAAGAAGATAAATTCTTACTTTATTGACTATAATTAGTAATTCTCTATAAACAAACTATTCCTGGGTTCAATGGTTCCAAATTTGTGGAAAGTGAACTCGCCACGTTAAACTTATATTGATTTGATTTTCATTGTACAGTGAAATTGAATTAGTAGAAAACCACCGTGGGTGGTTATATATTCTGGTGTTATATATTCTGAACGATATATAAAAAAAATGCTAATTTCATTCCACTATCTTCAATTCCCGAGTGAGATTCAAAATATTTTAAACAACTAAACACATAACCTGAATTTTTATGTTTCATTTATTTATTTATTTCCCAACGGATTGCACCTTTTTACAAAATATGTGTTACAATTTAGATGGCATTTGCAATATTACTAACTAGAAAAGTAATAACAATGGTAATAACAAAGTGATAATAAATAGTAATAGCAAGTAATAACAAATAGTGATAACAATAGTAATAACAAATAGTGATAACAATAGTAATAACAAAGTAATAACAAATATTAATAACAGAAGAATAAACTGAAAGAGTATCAACAAAGAATATGAACAGCAAGTTTCAACGATGAGAAGACAAATGTGCAGATGTGCTGGAGTGTGGTTGCTCAAGTGATCAGGGAGACCTTCTTTTTGAACCGGAGGGGCTTCTCACCGAAGAAATCCAGTTGAGCAGCCGCCGTGCTACCAGCCTTGAGTAGACGGCTAATTCCGCTGTTGTAAGAGTAGTAGGCTGGGAGAAAGCGTCTGCTGAATATAGTCCTGGAGCGGGTGCCTCTGGGCGTGGTAATGTCGATACCACTCAGGATGTTGGGGCAATCGACAAACCCGTTTACCAGCTTGTAGAGCATGAATATGTCGGCATGATGACGTCGGAGTGACAAAGGCAGAAGATCGAAGGACTTCTCCACATCGTCAACCGGGGTAGTGCGGTAGGTAAAACCAAGTCTCGGTCCAAGCATCCGTATGAAGCGGGTTTGTATGCTCTCCAGTTGGCTGACGTGGTTCTTCTGGAAGGGAGACCAGATGATTGACCCATACTCCAGCAGCGGGCGTACCAGGGACTTGTAGAGCGTGATCAAGGTGAAGGGTGAGTTGAAATTCCTTGTTGATCTGAATATGAAACCAAGCAGGGAGCTAGCTTTGGTTGTAATGTGGGCAATGTGCTCGTGAGGGTTGAGCGAAGGGGTCATTGTCACTCCGAGATCTCGTACCCTGTCCACTCTCTTCAGTGTAGAACCATTGAGGATGTAGTCATATTGGAGTGGGGCTGCACCACGTTTGTAGGAGATGACGACACATTTCAAGACGTTGAGCTCCATGAAGTTTTCCTTGCACCAGGCGTCGATGTTAGTGAGAGAAAGTTGGAGGCGCTCAAAGTCAGAAGCCAATGTCACCGAGCCAAATACCTTAATATCATCGGCGAACATGAGAAATTTGGTGAGGATGACGTTGCCAATGTCATTCATGAACAGGTTGAACAGCAAGGGACCGAGGTGGGACCCTTGCGGGACTCCAGATAGGACACTGAATGGCGTAGAAAGGCACCCGTCGTACTTGACTACAAGGGTTCTGTTGGTCAAGTAGCTGTTTAACCACTCAAGCAGGGCCCCCCCACACCATATCCGGCAAGCTTTGCCACAAGGATGTTGTGATTGACCTTGTCAAAGGCTTTGGAGAGATCAAGGTAAACACAGTCAACTTGGAGAGCATCGCCAAAAGCGGCCATGACGTATTCTTGAAACTCCATCAGGTTTGTTACTGTTGAGCGTGAGCGCAGGAAGCCATGTTGAGAGGAGGAGATACATTTACGGAGATGAAAATAGAGGTAGTCCAAAACAATGCTCTCGTACACCTTGGCAACAGCAGAGAGAATGACAATGGGCCGATAGTTTCTGACATTTGATTTCATTCGATTATGTTATTTACTGTTCTGAAAAACAAGGTCCGTAGGCAAACTTATTCCCCTCAGCTTTCAGTGAATTTACTTTTCCAGATTGAATTTATATGCAAACTCAATCATCGAAGTCAATTCAAATATTTGTGTTTTGTTTACTTGTTCGATACCTAGAAACTTTCAACAAACATACTAACTTAAACAACGTCAATGGGGCGGAGAAGCCAAAAAGGCTGTAACGGGAATTCTATATTGGCTAAATAAAATAGATTTGGCCTACTTCTAATATACAGGGTGTCCCGTAATCAAACAGCCAAGCTCCGGGAAATAATTAAACTTGTTAAATTATTCTTAGTCCACTGTCAAATGTACACCCGTGTGCTCCTTGATGAGGCAGGTGTGGGAGTAGTCTTAATCTCTTCGTTTGACCTTTGAGAAATACAATTTCGATGGTGGCAATCTTGAAAATGATGCGTTTGAACGCTGTGGGTAAAAACAAAATGGCCGCCATTTAAAATGTTTAAAGTCAAATTCCATGAAAACCAGCAAATAAAACAAAATTTTGCAACACATTATTTAAAGTCATTTTTATTACAAATCGAATGACACTTTATTTGCGAAAATCGGATAATAAATGAAAAAGTTATGTAGCTTTTATTATTAATAGTAATTATCAAAATGGCAGTCATTTTGAAATGACAAAGTTAAATTCCATAGAAACTAGTGACAAAAACATAATAAAAGTTACATAACTTTTTTATTTATTATCCGATTTTCACAAATAAAGTGTCGTTCGATTTGTAATAAAAAGGACTTTACATATTGTTTTTCAAAGTTTTGTTTTTAATTCTGGTTTTCATGGAATTTGACTATAAAGAATTTTAATGGCCGCCATTTTGAAATTCGATGAGCCTGATCAAAGATTTTTTCGGAGCATGTTTATAGTTGTAGACTTAAAGTTTATACCAAGTTTCATAAAAATATCTCTAAGGGCTTTTGAGTTATGAATTATTTAAAAAAAATACAAAATGGCGGAATTCGGCTTAACTAAGCCGAAATCGAAACAATGTTATACTACATTTTCGACTTATTTTTGCACATAGAATCTGAATCTGCATAGCCCATCACGCTTTACTGAAACACCCTTTATTACTTTTTCAAATATTTAACTGTCCTGGGACATTACATCCACCCTGATTAATTTTATTGATGAAAAATATAAAATTATGTTTTATGAAAGAATGGTTGATCCTACATAAAAACTGTAATAACCTTTTTTGTGCAGATTTAAAATAGCTACATTTTGGTATCAACAATTTTTTCATAATCAATCAATCAATCAATCAATCAATCATTAAGATGGGGACGACACTTAAGTGCGTATTTTAACCCAAATATGAGCGAAGGATGAGTGTAGAATGGTGTGAGATGATCTGTGTAGCTTTGTTACTGACTAAGATCAGCTGTTTCATTAGCCAGGATCATTCATTTAAAGCCCAATGATCAGGAACAGCTGAGTCCAGTTTCGAACCATCAAAAAGCTACTGACTTTTCTCAGGATCGAACCGGCGACCTTTTGATTAGTAGGCGAGCACTATAACCACTCAGCTACCCAGCCAGTTAAATTAATTATAATATAGCCAGTTTACATAACTCTAACGGTTACTGATATAAGTAAGAAAACAAGTTTGTGATGGCGGCCATTTTGTTTTTTACCCACAGCGTTCAAACGCACCATTTTCAAGAGTGCCACCATCGAAATTGTATTTCTCCAAGGTCACACGAAGAGATTAAGACTACTCCCACACCTGCCTCATGAAGGAGCACACGGGAGCCTGTATATGTACATTTGACAGGGGACTATGTAGTAAATAAGTACAACTGAGCACCCTGAATATTATATTTTTAAAAGAAGTGACATGTTTTGGACATAAGTACATTTTCAAACTTCAAAATACATACATTAAATACTTAACTGTTGTTTATATTAATTGTTTGTATATAAATAAATATAATTTAGATGTACAGATGATTTATAGAATTAGACAGGATTTGGAAAAATATTTTGTTACTGATTATTTAATTCTAAAATTTGGTCAAAGATTGGGTTTCTTGAAGGAATTTGGCTATTTAAAATATGATTAGGATTTTTTAGATTTTCATCGTATATGAAATATTCTTCAGTTGAATCCATTCGATTTCCTTTGTTTAAAACTTTTAGAATTTTCATATTGTTTTTTTTTTTTATTTGTGTAATTGTGGTTGGTCGATAAAAGGTGTTCAGCAAAGTTTGATTTCATGGATGTTCTGTTGTTACTCTTAAGAGCTTGAATGTGCTCTTTGAATCTAGATTTAAAAGAGCATCCTGTCTGGCCTATGTAGAAGTGTGCACAAACAGTGCAGTTAA